GTGAGATATAGTGGTGGCAAGTTAACCATACTCTATGTGGTCCTACTACTAGCTAGTATCTAGCAGAACAGATCACTATTAAGCTATTAGTTTAGCATAGTTTATATAGTGAGATATAGTGGTGGCAAGTTGACCATACTCTATGTGGTCCTAGTACTAGCTAGTATCTAGCAGAACTATAACTATTAAGCTATTAGTTTAGCATAGTTTATATAGTGAGATATAGTGGTGGCAAGTTAACCATACTCTATGTGGTCCTACTACTAGCTAGTATCTAGCAGAACAGATCACTATTAAGCTATTAGTTTAGCATAGTGAATATAGTGAGATATAGTGGTGGCAAGTTGACCATACTCTATGTGGTCCTAGTACTAGCTAGTATCTAGCAGAACTATGGTACAATTACACACGAAATGTATTCTAACGCTCAATCTGCTACAAGTATAGACGTTTATATGTGACGCGTTGAAATGTGCACTGTAGGGGCACATTGTGCAGATGACAGCAGATTTTGTATGGCTGATTCTAGGCTCGTGCGCTCTAACCGAACGGTTATGTTTGCCATGGTCGTTAACAATGATATTCGTCTGCTTTTTAGAAAGAGAAAGTCTTATGTTTATTTATCATTTTACCAGTGTTTTTATAAATCATAACTTTTTGGGGCTTATCATTGTTAGCTTAGTCTTCGCAGTTTGTTAATCGAACATTCATAATATTTGAATTCCGTTATGTTTTATCTTTGACAACAACCGAACTTAGTGCAGTAATACGTCAGTATTCCTGTTTCTGTTGATTAATGAGGTCGGATCGTCATATTCTTACAGCGTTCGATGTCTGTGTGAAGGTAAAATGGTGACATCCTCTGGATCAGTCAGTAGTCCCATTATATAGTATTGCTGTACAACTACTAGTACTACAGTTTCTGTTAATTCTAGTAAACCGGTCTTGCAGATGCAGTAACAGTGCGTTATCAAAAGTGAAGTGACAAGTTGGGCGTACTGCCTAACCATACTGAATACTGATGTCTTTGACATCTGCAGGTGACAGCAGCTTTTATATAGCTGATTTTGGGCCAGACTGTACTTATTTGCCATGATCGTTAATCTTAGACGTTTATCTTTTGAAATGTGCAGATAAGCAGCTGATTTTATACAGCTGATTCTAGGATCGTGCACCCTAACAGAGGGTTGTTGAGTGCCATGATCGTTAATGACAATAGTTATCTCCTTTTTGAGAAAGAGAAAGTTTTCTGTTTATTTATCATTTTAATTTTTACCAGTGTTTTTATAAATTATATCTTTGTGGAGCTTATCATTGTTAGCTTAGTCTTCGCAGTTTGTTAATCGAACGTTCATAATATTTAAATTTAGTTATACAGTTATAGTTTATCTTTGACAGCAAGCAAACTTACTGCAGTATAGTACTGCAGTAGTAGTAGTGATGGTAGTGTTTCTGTTAATTCTATAGTACACCGGTATTGCAAATGTACTGATGTGTACGAAGGTAACAGGTGATATTATGACAGGTCTTGCTACCCGAGAGGAATCTTCGAGAGCACGTACGGTACATTGTTGGAAACGATCCTTTCCTATGGATACGTGAGCATAAAATCAATAAAACCAATCGTAAGTTTCCAAGATCGTCAATAAATTTATCGACTTACTTTTACTTTGGGCGATGCTCGATCGAAATCTCCTCCACTCTACGTCTCCAGATGGTTCTGTCGCACATAACTGTTCGGAGATCTTCTACCCGCAACCCTGTGTCCCTGGCTACGGTGTCAAGAAAAGAGAGTGGTCTCCTCCCACGCCTGAACTGTGGCAGCCGCCAAGGAAGGATGGTAGAGATGACCTGGTCTGAAGCTCTCATGCAATGCCCAGCAAATCTGGCACGTCTCTGTGCAACGATGGTGGAGATGGAAGGGAGGTCACCATAGATTTGCTTTAGGGTTGGATGCTTCTTCCATGAAAGATTCCTGGCTTTCATTAGGAGCCTGGTGTAGCACCCGTCGAGACGCTTCTCAAACTGCTTGTTCAAGGTCCAGGTTTATCGACAATAAAGAGATATGATTTCAAATCCGGTTTCACATTGTATAGGCCAAGTTTTATATCCTTCGAGCCACAAACGTGACAAAGGGACACTCTGTTTAGCCAGGACTTAAGTTGGGGATGATATTGAAAACTGCCAAATAAAAGAATCGATATTAACAGTTAAGGAGTTAAGTTACAATCAAATTATGTGTTACTGGCTGCGCTCAGCCTGTCATTCCGCCAAATATTTATTGTTTATGAACATTACAGCCCAGGTAAATTATGTGCGGCTAAGTTATTAATTTAACCGTGGTGAATTTTACAAATAAAATACAGGAATAATCCGGATAGAATGGTTAAAGGATTAAGATAAGGAGCAAATCATTAAAATTTTTCCTGAACTAATTTCAACAGAGCGATAAATAATCAAAAGTAAGAGCTTTTGGGCAACTTTTCGAACAGTGTTACGAAATAACGATAAACTAGGTAATAAATAAGTTATCAACCAAGTCGTTTCCTTGAGAAATGAAACACACGTATGCTTAAAAAGAAGACGATAAGGGTAATTCTAACATATTATTATTAGATAACTTATATTATACGAAACGAAACGAAACGAAACGAAACACAATATTTACTACCCCGCTCGTATGCGACAAAGATATTGCATAAAATATACCTAAATAATTTACACAATACGGTGCCCATGTCTGAGCGGCTCTCCACAAAAACTTTCTCTCCTCCTCAGAGCAGAAGGTTTTTTTAAAAAATATATAAACTGGGATCTCATAAAAATTTAAGAACCAATGTACTTTATTTGACAATAAAAGATAAAAATTGTGTCACACATAAGGTTTATAAACTACCAAGACGTGCGCCGAGTTAGACTTGTCGACGGTCTTATATAATTAGAGCAAACAATTTACGAGTATCACCCGTTAAGTCACACACAAGAAAAACTTCATGATTATGCATCGTTCACTATGATATCTTGTCCTCACAACAAATAATACCACTTCTGATATAATATCGTCTCTTCAAATCCTTCTTTGCCTTCTCTTTCATCTCCAAGACGAGCAGATGATGTCTGGCTTGCTCTTCAGGTGACCGATCTGGTGAAATGAACACAGTTTTGTGGTGCTCACTCAGTTTCAGGTTTTTCGATTTTGATAAAATCTGATGTACAGTATTCGAATTTGATAACAAAATTTTGACAGGTCTGGTCTTGTCAGCTGATTTCCTTCTAATCCTTACAGCTTCGAAGTGTGGTTTCACTTCAATCTGTTCAAACAGTTCGTCTACTTTGTCTGATAGTTTCTCTTCATCTGTCTCCTTTAAACCAAAAATGAGAACATTCCTGCTGCGATCCTCTTCTGACACAGCCTTCTGCACAACTTTTTTCAGGCTCTCCTCCGTTATTGTACTGTTCGGCGAGGCTTTTAACACAGCTTGACTGTATGACTTGATCTCAGCTTGAACAGTGTCCTGAACAGCCGATTTTACGGTGGTCTGAACTAATTCCAACTGATTGGCGTTGGCTTCAAGAAGTTCCCTCTGCAGTTTGATAACCGACTCTTGTGATCGGATGAGAGAACTCTTCAATTCCTCAACATCTTTCATTGCATTCAGAGTTTCTCCGACGACAGAATTCAACTGATAGTACATATTATACATCAAATTTGATAAAACCTTCTTGACTGGCTTTTCAAACTTTTCAACTGAAAACTTTGTTCTATTTTCACAGTTCGTGGCTTCTGCAATATTCGAAATTAAAGCGTCGAAATCCTCATTCGCTTCGTTGAAAAATGTAGAGTGTCCTGATAAACGCTGCAGTAAATCTGTGTCCTTCATCATGTACTTAAGTTGTATTACAAGGCTACACGGTGGTCGCAGTGCAATTAAACGATTTTACTGATAAGAGAGCAACTGATTATCAACACACAAGCTAAAAGGATAGAATACAGAATATAAGATAAATAATATAATGTAATATGATGTAAATATGGGGGATGATGTAATATGGGGGATGATGATTAAGCCTAAGGTGGCATACACCCTTTCCATACCATAGAAATGTTGTTTGAGGATCCACATCTTTTTGATTGACCATTTCCTGGTCAAAGTGCATTTTTCGGAAAAGTACAATTTGTTTTAACCAAAATGTCCCTCAAGGAACATCGGATTTGTTTGTAATCAGTATGGCTTTAACGAAGCTTGAAAGAACACTCGTTTTTTTGTCTTTGACCATCTGACACAACCAAACAGAACGATGTTGATTACCATGATCGTTAATTAACTATCATGGTAATCAACATCGTTATTAATAATAGTTAATAAAAGTCATCTCCTTTTTAGAAAGACAAAGTTTTTTTGTTTATTTACAAGTTTACCAATGTTTTTATATTTTTATTAATGAAACATTAGCGGAGTTTATCATGGTAAACGTTTATAGCATCTAAATTCTGTAATATTGTATTTGTGACAGCAGTAATAGTCGTGTAATAAACTGGCCTTACAGTACCTCAGTACGTTATATAACGTCATAAATAATAACGTTAGGAAAGTACGTTATAAGTGACAAGTTGGGCGTGTTTTATAACTATAGTCTATAACATATATGTATAGACTTACCGATAGTACAAGTGGTAGTGGAACTAAAGATTAATAATTGCTGTCAGACATCATAACATAACAGTTTATTTTTGCTTAATTCGTATAGTCAGTATAAATAGTATTAGTAAACTTGGTTGCCTGTGCAGGGAGATAATACGACTTTGTTTTTTTGCGCTGGATGTCAATTCTAGGGTTCTAGAGGTCAATGCCGAGAGATCTGTAATACAATGTGTCTGTACAAATCTATTATTTAATTAGCTTCTTAGTCAATTGAATTTTTTAATTGTAATTGTATAGCTCATTTATAATTATATCAAATTAAACTGTTTATTAAGTTTAACTAAATCTTCGACTCACAGAAGATTCTATGAATTAAAGTGGAGAGCTCTCTTCGATTTTTAATCTCTGTTGACGGGATCCCAAAAAGGAGATAAGACAGGTAATAGGACGTTTATTTGACTGGACATTACGTGAACAGACCTAATTTTGAACGGACGTTAAAATGAACGCTATGGGCCTCCAGCGTCCAAATAATGTCTGTTCAAATAATTAATAAAGTCCATAATAAGGTAATTAAATTCAATCAGTTAATCATCTACGTTTTCATAATTTGATCTACTTCGTATGTTAATACATCTAAAGTTAATTTAAATAAACAACTTATTATAGGGTGGTTCAAACCCCAAAGTTTCTCAAATCTTTCTGAACCAAAGCTTTAAAACTATTGAAAAAAAAATTCAGTCAAAATAGTGAATTTGGGCCGTGGAAAGCTGAAATTAGAATATGTCCTACCGGTAGGACATATTCAAAATTTTCATTGCATCAAAGTTTTCTCCAGATATACTGCTTCCAGTGCATTGTTGGCGACTTGTGTAACTCTCATCGATTTCACTGATTGGTCACTGGTCAAAATTTAAGTCAAATTAACCGCGAAATTTCGTTCGTTATTTAGTGATCAACTCTAAATTCGAGTACAAAGTGAGCGACATCTTTTAATTTGCGCACTCATTAATAAATGGGTACCTATGTTGAGTTACTAATCATAAAACTCTTGATCAGGATCAGGTGCTTGGTAACAAGAAGTGAAAGTGAAAGTAAAATTGTACCGTGATGGACCCGATGGCGATGCTGTACACGGAAGTAGCTGTAAGTAAATATTTGATTCTTTAAATTTGTAAATTACCTTTGAAACGTTGTTACCTGCAAAACCAACTAGTGTGCAAACCTATCGTTTAATTTATAGTGCGCAACTCTTATACGGACTCGTTTAGGGGGAAAAGTACGTACTTGTACGCAACTTTGAAAAGTCCGACTCATACGACGTACGATTCAGATAAAAATTTTTTGTTTTTGAATTATTATCATCGGGGCTATTGTAAAATGTAATTGTTAATTGCCGATGTTAGACAAAATAAACCGTTCGCGAACAAATTAAACACAGAGTTCTTTGGCCAGGCAAGCATTTAAAAGTAAAACAAAAATTCTACAGAATTACTAGACAATTTACTTATTTAAACAGCTTGTTTATCTTAAAGTTAAACTTTAAGTTAAGGGGGGGGGGGGGGGGGGGGGGGGGGTTCACCCTGATTTTTTTGTGAAACTTAGTTTCGAGATAGCAGTTGACCAACCAACTAGGACCGGTGACCGAACTTTTGAGGGGGTCCCGGACCCCAACCGCCTAACGGTGCCCGCGGGGCAGCCACGCCCATATTTGGTCCAAATTAGGCCCAATTTAGCCAAATACCCTGAACATGCCCAAAACCCAGATTTTAGGTGCTTTACTTGTAGCTAGTGGTCCCCTAAACTCGTATATGAATTTTCATCAAGATTGGACAAAAAATGACTGAGTTATGAGCCAAAAACCATAGGACCATATTTGGGCATACGCACCAAATTTGATCGATTTTGGCCCATTAATTGGTCAAATATCAATATTTTTGAATGAAACCAACTTTATATGGAAGGTAAGCCTATACTACACATTCTCTATGATTATCAGCTCAATATCTACCTAACTGTGGATTCTGTGTTCAAATAGTTGCAAAAAATGAACCAAATCGCCCATATCTCAGTTCGCGATATTTGCAAAACTGACTTTGCTCAAAACAATAGAACTCAATAGGGTTTCGATATTTTTTTATGAAATTTTCAGAATCGACGTAGGATTGCCTCATGACCTTAAGTTTTGAGTTAGGCCTTTAAAAAAATTTGGCGGCCAAATTCTGAAAAATGCCCGGCAAATTTCAGAATTTGGCCGCCAAATTTTTTTTAAAGGCCTAACTCAAAATTCTAATACAAAACTTAAGGTCATGAGGCGATTCTACGTTGATACTGAAAATTTCATGAAAAAATATTGAAACCCTATTGAGTTGTATTGTTTTGAGCGAAGTCAGTTTTGCAAATATCGCGAACTGAGATATGGGCAATTTTGTTCATTTTTTGCGATTATTTGAATACAGAATCCACAGTTAGGTAGATATTGAGCTGATAATCATAGAGAATGTGTAGTTTAGGCTTACCTTTCATATTAAGTTGGTTTCATTCAAAAATATTGATATTTGACCTGTTTATGGGCCAAAATCGATCAAATTTAGTGCGTATGCCCAAATATGGGCATATAGTTTTTAGCTCATAACTCAGTCATTTGTTGTCCAATCTTGATTAAAATTCATATACGAGTTCAGGGGACCACTAGCTACAAGTAGAGCAGCTAAAATCTGGGTTTTGGGCATGTTCAGGGTATTTGGCTAAATTAGGCCTGATTTGGAGTTTGGACCAAATATGGGCGTGGCTGCCCCGCGGGCACCGTTTGGCGGTTGGGGTCCGGGACCCCTCAAAAGTTTGGTCACCGGTCCTAGTTTGTTGGTCAACTGCTATCTCGAAACCAAGTTTCACAAAAAATTCAGGGTGAACCCCCCCCCCCCCCCCCCCTTAATCGACGATTGGAATATTATAGAAACACAAGTTTTTAAAATCGCTCAATATTAGTCCGTAACATGCGATTTAGAACTCCTTCTAGAATAGAAGGAGAACTTTTCTCATCTTAGTTCCCGCCAGCCAGTCTGAGGTGACTCGCAGTTTGTCTTCATAATACTCCGGTTACCAGTGTCCACGACTTTTCGGAGAAATAATTCCCGGAAAATATTATTACGTGCAATCATATATGAGTAAATAATATGAGGCACCTTCATAAGTAAATCAAACAGCCGAGTGTTTTACTTCACGTTTTAATAACAAATGTAAATTTGGTATTTACTCACAAGATTGCTTTCGTAAATGATATTTTACAATATAAACGATAATTATAATCTGAAAAACATTCATATTCTTGTTATTAGCATAGTTAGTGTGTAATTAATTAGTGTGTAATTAATTTTTATTGAAAAACTGCAATATATATTATATTTGACATAATAAATTAACACTTTAACATTTGTTAAACAGTTATTCAATAATAGCGTCTAAAGCTAAAAAAAATATATGCATCGTTTTTGCATGGCAATATCCTGAGCATCTTAGGGCTGCTTTTTAATTGCCGCTTATGTTCGTTTACTTGTTTTAAGTAGCTCACTGACCCCCCATTATCTCACTGACCCCCATTATCTCACTGACCCCCCATTAGCTCACTGACCCCCCATTATCTCACTGACCCCCATTATCTCACTGACCCCCCATTAGCTCACTGACCCCCCATTATCTCACTGACCCCCATTATCTCACTGACCCCCCATTAGCTCACTGACCCCCATTATCTCACTGACCCCCCATTAGCTCACTGACCCCCCATTATCTCACAGACCCCTCATTATCTCACTGACCCCCCATTAGCTCACTGACCCCCCATTAGCTCACTGACCCCCCATTATCTCACAGACCCCCCATTATCCCTCTGACCCCCCATTATCTCACTGACCCCCCACTAGCTCACTGACCCCCCATTATCTCACTGACCCCCCATTATCTCACTGACCCCCCACTAGCTCACTGACCCCCCATTATCTCACTGACCCCCCATTAGCTCACTGACCCCCCATTATCTCACTGACCCCCATTATCTCACTGACCCCCCATTAGCTCACTGACCCCCCATTATCTCACTGACCCCCATTAGCTCACTGACCCCCCATTATCTCACTGACCCCCATTATCTCACTGACCCCCCATTAGCTCACTGACCCCCATTATCTCACTGACCCCCCATTAGCTCACTGACCCCCCATTATCTCACAGACCCCTCATTATCTCACTGACCCCCCATTAGCTCACTGAACCCCCATTAGCTCACTGACCCCCCATTATCTCACAGACCCCCCATTATCCCTCTGACCCCCCATTATCTCACTGACCCCCCACTAGCTCACTGACCCCCCATTATCTCACTGACCCCCCATTATCTCATTGACCCCCACTAGCTCACTGACCCCCCATTATCTCACTGACCCCCCATTAGCTCACTGACCCCCCATTATCTCATTGACCCCCATTATCTCACTGACCCCCCATTAGCTCACTGACCCCCCATTATCTCACTGACCCCCCCCCCCCCCCATTAGCTTACTGACCCCCCATTATCTCACTGACCCCCCATTAGCTCACTGACCCCCTATTAGCTCACTGACCCCCCATTATCTCACAGACCCCCCATTATCCCTCTGACCCCCCATTATCTCACTGACCCCCCACTAGCTCACTGACCCCTCAGTAGATCACTGACCCCTTTACCTGGGGACCCCAGGTAAAGGCTATTATGTTCATAAACATATGATACTATAATAATAGAGATTCGGCGGAATGACAGACTGAGCGCTGCACCCAATAATGTCCCCTTTGGCCTTTACCTGGGGACCCCAGACTATTATATGACTAAACATCATAATAGAGATTCGGCGGAATGACAGGCTGCAGAGCACCGCCTAGTAATATCCCCTCAGCATATGCCCGCATACGGTTCAATAATTTCATGGCACCAGGTGTCCATGTCATTCCTAATATAGCACCAGAAACCAGTAGCAAGTATTAACCATATGTTGCTGTCGGAGTGTCGGTGTAAAAACGTAAAAACACAATAACTCATTTTATGACACATTTAAGTTACATTAGAAATCTTTCCCGACTGTTCTGGTGTTCGTATGGGCAGGATTTGATTCGTTTTGTGCCGATTAAGTTGAGCCAGTAATCACATTTAGTTTCTAGCTAACACTGTTAGAAACTGTGGAATTCAATCTGTTAATTGCTAACAGATTGAATTTCACTATTTTCTATCTACCATAGATATATTTTTATTTATTTGTGATGAAATTGAAGGTCTTTGCAGAAATGTTACGTTATTAGAATTTTGATTTTAGTCTGTTACTAACACTACTACTACTAAGCTACTACTACTATGTCGGAACTAAGTCCGATCTACGCCAGATAACCCCTCCATATATCCCTGTCCCGCATGAGGGTTCGCAGTTCCTTTTTAGAGTTTGTCCCAACTTCCTTTAGTAACATAGACATTAGACAAGTAGCTTTGTCTTGGTCGGCCTTGCTGTGCTCTACCATGCATAGGTTCCCGTATAAAGACTAAATCACTGGTGCAAATAGCTCAGGATGTCTGATGCAGTGTCCCGCGCGCCATTTTTAATTTACTGCTTCGTAAGTCGTAACTTGTTTGACAGCCTTGGTAGGCTACCATACAAAGTTATATTGCTGACCTTGTCCTTTTATGAGATTCCCAGCACCATACGCAGCATTTTTGTGTATGTCCCGACCAAACTTTTCTCTTGAGCCATTTGTCAGTGTCAAGGTTTCTGATCCGTAGAGCAGTACTGTTACTAACAGTTGTAATAGTGGCTGAAATGAATCCTTTTATGTTGTTGTTAATTTGGTATTTATTTTTTTCTATTATCCGTTAATTTAATTGTGTTGCTTTTTAAAAGTTGTAAGTTGGTTGATATTGAGTCACTGAATTAAGTTATATCTTGTTGTTTCACAGTTGTTAAAATCTAACTACTGTCTTTTTATTAAAAATTGTTCGAGGTAGTAACGTTCGTATGCTTTTAAAATTTTCAGATCAGTGAGAAGTGTGCCATTTGAAGATCACTCACAACTGAAAACCACAGTCACGCTCCAAGGTTTCATCATGCAGTCGTACCAGGCTAATGAATATCCATGTAGGAATCATAACCTGAATTTTTGGACGCAAAATTAGATTCCTAACATTTTTCAAAAACGTCCGGCCATTAATTGCCCCCTGTCTCCAAAAGTGGCATTACAACCTTGCAGAAGGTCGGAACACCTTTTTTTAACATTCCTAAAAGCATATTTTCAAACTTTATTCGTTCTCCACAACTTCCAATATGACAGCTTTACAACATGTAGATCACTGACCCCTTTACCTGGGGACCCCAGGTAAAGGCTATTATGTTCATAAACATATGATACTATAATAATAGAGATTCAGCGGAATGACAGACTGAGCGCTGCACCCAATAATGTCCCCTTTGGCCTTTACCTGGGGACCCCAGACTATTATATGACTAAACATCATAATAGAGATTCGGCGGAATGACAGGCTGCAGAGCACCGCCTAGTAATATCCCCTCAGCATATGCCCGCATACGGTTCAATAATTTCATGGCACCAGGTGTCCATGTCATTCCTAATATAGCACCAGAAACCAGTAGCAAGTATTAACCATATGTTGCTGTCGGAGTGTCGGTGTAAAAACTTAAAAACACAATAACTCATTTTATGACACATTTAAGTTACGTTAGAAATCTTTCCCGACTGTTCTGGTGTTCGTATGGGCAGGATTTGATTCGTTTTGTGCCGATTAAGTTGAGCCAGTAATCACATTTAGTTTCTAGCTAACACTGTTAGAAACTGTGGAATTCAATCTGTTAATTGCTAACAGATTGAATTTCACTATTTTCTATCTACCATAGATATATTTTTATTTATTTGTGATGAAATTGAAGGTCTTTGCAGAAATGTTACGTTATTAGAATTTTGATTTTAGTCTGTTACTAACACTACTACTACTAAGCTACTACTATACTATGTCGGAACTAAGTCCGATCTACGCCAGATAACCCCTCCATATATCCCTGTCCCGCATGAGGGTTCGCAGTTCCTTTTTAGAGTTTGTCCCAACTTCCTTTAGTAACATAGACATTAGACAAGTAGCTTTGTCTTGGTCGGCCTTGCTGTGCTCTACCATGCATAGGTTCCCGTATAAAGACTAAATCACTGGTGCAAATAGCTCAGGATGTCTGATGCAGTGTCCCGCGCGCCATTTTTAATTTACTGCTTCGTAAGTCGTAACTTGTTTGACAGCCTTGGTAGGCTACCATACAAAGTTATATTGCTGACCTTGTCCTTTTATGAGATTCCCAGCACAATACGCAGCATCTTTGTGTATGTCCCGTCCAACCTTTTCTCTGATCCTTAGAGCAGTACTGTTACTAACAGTTGTAATAGTGCCTGAAATGAATCCTTTTATGTTGTTGTTAATTTGGTATTTATTTTTTTCTATTATCCGTTAATTTAATTGTGTTGCTTTTTAAAAGTTGTAAGTTGGTTGATATTGAGTCACTGAATTAAGTTATATCTTGTTGTTTCACAGTTGTTAAAATCTAACTACTGTCTTTTTATTAAAAATTGTTCGAGGTAGTAACGTTCGTATGCTTTTAAAATTTTCAGATCAGTGAGAAGTGTGCCATTTGAAGATCACTCACAACTGAAAACCACAGTCACGCTCCAAGGTTTCATCATGCAGTCGTACCAGGCTAATGAATATCCATGTAGGAATCATAACCTGAATTTTTGGACGCAAAATTAGATTCCTAACATTTTTCAAAAACGTCCGGCCATTAATTGCCCCCTGTCTCCAAAAGTGGCATTACAACCTTGCAGAAGGTCGGAACACCTTTTTGAACATTCCTAAAAGCATATTTTCAAACTTTATTCGTTCTCCACAACTTCCAATATGACAGCTTTAAAACATGACCAGTTTGGAAGAAGTACTGGGTTTTTTTAGCTGCATGGATAGCTACAAAGATGCTAAAAAAATCGCAAACTTAAATATTACGACTGCATTTGTTTCGCCGATCCTTCCTACAATGTCGAATGTTGCGAATTTTATAACTTGCTCCTGATTACCAGCTCACACGAGATCCAGGAGACTAACTATCCTGATGATCACGGACACCCTTAAGTTCTTTAATTAGATAAAAGTGCTTGTTCTGTGCTTATTCCAACTGAACGAGTCCACTGATAGACAAAAGAGCAGGGACAAACAATGCTATGCTTTGTCTTGGCAGTTGATAGATAATATTTATATTAATGCTAATGAGTAATTCCTTCGATATCATCAGGATAGGGCGACGTTGATTTTACCTATTAAAAATTAAATAGAAGTTAAACAAGCATTGCGGTACAAATCATAATTTTTCGAGATTTTTCAGCATTTTTTGTTTTGTTGAACTTTGCATGTAATACGGCTTTTCAAATTTAACTTTTGGAAGTTGATTTACGTCACCTCAATATGAATATCGTCATTTATCAATGTTGATATTATTCAATATTATTTGACTTATTTTAAGTTTTTTTCACCTTCCTTTTAAATTAGGTTTCAGACATTAGGTTAAACACTGAGATTTCGTTAGGGATTATAAGGTTATTCGATTTCTAGAAAGCTATATTTAGTCTGTGAACATTTTAGTTGAATATGCATCGTGTATTATGTATTGATCACTAAGTTAAACATGGTATGTTATAGTACAGTAATACCCTGATTTACCGCACCCAATCTCCCTCCCCCAAATAGGGCTTAATTTGCACAATGTAAACAACCAAAACCCCGATTTATCACAAATCCCGATTTACCGTGGCTTTTTCCCTTCTCCCAAAGTCAAACTCCGCGGTAAATCGGGGTATTGTTATTCGAGTACGTGATATTTAGTGATCAGCTTCGTTAATTTTCATTATAGCCGCAACTTTATAATATAAATAATACATTCTTTAAAGGCTTCTTACAGCTTTTGTTAAGTCTTCGTGTGGTTTACATATGTCTACTTCTTTTGTTGATTTGATTATTGGCTAAAAACTTAAAATTTCAAAATATTGCGTCCAATATTTTAGATTACAAAAAATTTGAATCTTATTCTTCTAAAATGTTGGTACCAAAAAGTACGTGGTACTATAAGTCGTACTTTTCAATTTACGTATTTAATACGTACCTATTTTATCCATACTTCTCATTTAAGTTTTCGTGTCATCTTCAAGTTCATGCTGTCTACTTCTTTTGTTGAACAGTACAATATGACCCAGGTTATTACTCATGACAAATATTATAAAATGACATTTCTTTTAGTAAAGCCTGCTAGTGTGATCGTTTTATTTCGTTACCATTGGTTACCATTCGTTACCATTGGTTACAGTGGTCATTATTCTGGAATTATCTAACTGGAAGACAGCCGAACGCAGCCGAAATTCGACAAATTCCGTTTGATTCCTATCTAATTTCTTACAAAAACTAGCACAGCATTAAAAATAACCATTAGACCTCAGCCTCCTTTAGCGAGAGCTTAGTAATGACTTAAACCTAGAAGTACATAGAAATAAATATCAAAATCATTATTTAATATGTATTTTCGTCGGAATTAAAGAGGAGGGGTGTGTACCAAATAGTTAACTACTGCCGGGAGAACAATAAGTATTGGAAACTGAATTTCTCAGTCTTTCAGTGGTCATGCCTTCTTTTAAAACCGAGGATATATTTCGGGTAGAACTGATCTTATCTTAAGTTTCAAATATGATACTAACGTGTTCCTCATTGCTGTACTGTTGGAGTGCTTAATTATCAAGATTTTGTAGAAAATATCGTAGAAAATATTTGAAATATTTCGTCATTCATTTGGAATATTTTCTAATGTTTAGTCTATACGTCACTACTACGTCACTACTACTCAGTACAGTTCATCGGTATTGACTCAATTTGGACTATTTTAAGCATCGGACCGGCCAATATTCCTTGGCCGGTTCCTTGTTTAAATTAAGTTAAACTTAAATGAGTACGATAATTATACAACGTAATACGCCAAATATAGTGAAATGAGTTAGTTCTTGGTAAATAAATTGGTTCCAAAGACAAAATCAATTGGGGCCCTCCTAAAATCGTTTATTTATAGCAGGGCTATATATCTGAAGAATATGCTGACAAGTTTGTTGTCTGTTAATTTAGTCTCTTAATTTATCTAAGCTATTTAAAACTTATCCATTCGTTTCGGTTGTCGTTGATCATCAATCATTTATAGATTTTATTTTTATCTTTGTCAATATTTCTTAAATTATAGCAGCCGTAATTTTTATTTCATATTAATTGTTTGAAGTTTCTCATATTGATTGTTTTACCTTTTTTTTATAGCAACAACTTGAGCAAATGGACTTGAGCAATGTAGTGAAAAATCCTTCAGCCGCAAGTTACAAGGTAAAATTTCTTTGAAATTGAGAAAATCTAATAAAATAATAAATAATGCCTCAAGAACAACAATTGTCCCTCATAACTTCATGAAATTTCAACTTTAAACCATGTTTCCTCGTTTTTTACCATTCTTCGTTATCAGACCCATCACATTATCTTGAGTGTAGAGTGATGTAGATGTAGATGTAGTAGATGTAGAGTGATTTATAAGCACAACATCTTGCTGATGTGTCGTTCACCCCAGGAGTCACAGAAATACACATAACACCCTGTCCGGTCGGTCCACTCGGTCCACAAGGGTTGGGTTTCACAGTCGTCCGTGTCAGAATCCGTGTCACAGATCTGTCATTGGTTATACTTATATGATTATGTGTATAAGACGTGAAAAAGACTTGTTATTAATTAAGTAATAGGAATAACTTGTTTAATCTTTAAACATTTTTAAAATCTGTAACCCCAATCTGCGGAAAATTTGGTAAAAAGTGCGGCGTATATATTAGCAAAATGTGTGGCAAACGTGCTGTGAATTTTAATCTATTAGGTAAATATTTCTGTGATAGAAAGCTGCTCAAACATTACTACATGGGGTTGATTAAATAATTCTTTGTATAAGAACGAATGAGTAATTATTTTAAGGCCCGTTCGAAATATTACAGCTTTAGAATTAGAATATAATCCCAATGAATTATGATGATTATTGAAACGCGTGTACAAATTAAATGAAAAATAAATAAATAAAAAATAAATTAATTAAAAAGCTGAAACGTTAATTTTTCTATTTATACCAACTCTATTTATAATTATACCAACTCACTGTTTGATCACATATCAATGTTTGGCTAGCTTTACATCTGCAATAACCACAAATTGATGAGTCGTACTCGCTATCACCAACTTTAAGCTTCTTTTCCTGGAAATCACAGAAGTCTCCTTCGGGTACCACAGGCACAGCTGCAGCGTTATTTGGCTTGTTTTTCTTCTTCCATTTTTTACAGGACATTAAGTCGACAAGAAGCAATAAAAGTATAAGCATACTAACAAAAACCTTCATACTGACTACGATTATTGTTAAAACTAGCACAATAAGATGGAGGAAGAATATAAAGCTACTCAACGTTCCCACCTGACTGCACTTACACCTCGCTTATGAGTATAAACTCCATGATGCTTCGTTGCAGTTATAAAGCCATTAACGGTAGAAGGCCGCGGGCCACTTCAATGAGTACAAAGTACAAGCTTAAAAATTTATAATAATAATTTCCCGTACTAGACACGGCTAAACTTAAAGTGCTAAACCCGTGTTGCGTCTAACTTAACCACCTACACAAAGAACATCATGATCAATCACTACAAGTTGGTGCTCAGCTGCTTAATCTTATGTGAATGTCCAACTTCAATGTGGTCTAAAGTTTTCTAATAAACTTTGTAAATGTAATCTTAACGGGAGCTGATTGAGACATGACAATTATTGATCTCTACAAATTGGAGCTCAGCTCAGCTCAGACTCTATTGTAACCGTATGAAGCCGAGGGTAGCTATGATGATTTGACGCTTCCAATGTTCTAAACTCTTTCATTTTGCATTTGTTCCTATCGAGGGGCAAACACAAAGCGCATCCTCATGACAAATTTCCATGTTACACCTCAGCAGTGCAATAATGTTAAATTAAGCAGAGCTCACCACGAAAACTAATAATTTCTATCAAGCAACTTCTCAAAGATGCTTTACACTTAATTACTCCATGTGCAGTTTAACCCTCATAGTCCGAGACGAAAGGGAAACTCGTTAACTTTTCGTGTTAAAAGTAATTTCTCTACAGTTATCACCTTTCTGGATGATGCTCTGGTCGAAAGAAAATGAAGGCTAAACCATCGAAGTGCATGTCTATGTCTATGAAGTGTACTGGAGGAAAGTACAATACCTATGATGCAGAGTTTGTACTAAGCGAACAACAGGTGCCGTCCATTATCCAAGCACCAATGAAGTTCCTAGGAATGTACATGTATGTAGACCTTGAGGTGAAGGAAATTTTGTCCATGATTAAGAAGAAGTTAGAGGACCTTTTGGAAACAACGTCTAATGATGAAATCACGGGTCCAATGAAGGCGTGGGTGTATAACCACCTCATCATTAGTAAGATGTCATGGGGGTTTACTGTTTATAACCTGCCCATCACATTTGTGAGAGAGCTTGAGGCACTGTGTAACAGATACCTTAATAAGTGGCTAGGGATTGCGCATCCTTGTACCACCACCGTCCTCCACAGGAGTAGAGACCAGAAAGGATTGCAGCTGAAAAACATCTCCACTGAGTACAAAGTCATCCAACTTATTAAGGGACACCAACTTTGTAACTCTAGTGACCCCTACATCAAAAAAGTGTACTCTAACCATAAGGCTATTGCAGACACACAGAAGATGTGGTCATATCTCAAAGAGCTGAAAGACCGTCAGCGCCAACTTTACTTCCAAGAGTTAGTTGGAAAACCTGCAGTTGGTACAACTGGCCTCGGTTATGGGACAAGATATGAGGACACATCAGAGAGGAAACTGCTAACCAACATGGTGAGGACCTTTGATGAAGAGACACTTATTTGTTCACTTTTTGACGAAAAGCGGCAAAACATCTTTCTCACATGGGAAAATACAATGACATTTGACACCACGTGGAATAACCTGATCTATCAACTTAGTCCGGAACTGTTAAAGTTTCATGTCAATGCTATCCATGACACCGCGTCAACACATAGCAACCTAAAGCCGTTTCAGGAAACTGTAAACTCTGCAGCAAACAAGGGACACTCAATCATATCCTCACGTTCTGCAAGGTTGCACTAAGACAGGGACGTTTCAACTGGCGCCATGATCAGGTCCTACGTGAAATCATGAGGACTGTTTCATCACAGATTGACGAGTTTAATTCTGACATCGCCAAGGAATCGAAGAGGGCACCGTCGGTCTTTCACAAAGCAGGCAATAAGCGCGAGAAGGTTACCTTAGCTGACCCAACTGATCATAAGACCCAAAGATATTTCTTTTCAGATGCCAACGACTGGAAGATAATATTTGATGAGGATGAGAGACAGAGGAACTTCCCGCAGCACATTGCAGCTACACCACTAAGGCCTGATGAAGTGATCTATCTTACTATATATAAAGCGAGATGATATATATATATTTATCCGTGCCATTTTACTGACACCACGGCATCAACTTTAACGCGAATTTCTGCAAAAACCGTCAAAGATATACAACTAAATCTTTTTTGACTGGGTCAAATGCTTTAATGGCCTCCAAATCAGCATGAAAAAATAAAAAATTGACCAAGAAATAGGAGTTTTAGAGCCCAAAATTTGGTACCCCAAGTGGTGTCAAAAACGCGAATTAAATAGGTAATAATTGTTTTAGTCTCTTGAGCCTTGACACCATTTTAGGGTTAGACGGGTTCCTGCTAGTTCAGATAAAGCAAGGAAGGTTTATCTAATGGAACTGACTTGTGGGAATGAGCAGAACTTTGCTGATCAAGGTTTACAAGGTTTACAAGGTTTACAAGGTTTACAAGGTTTACAAAAAATAGATCTATATTACAGTGAGATAATGTCAGATCAGCATAGCTAAAGGTCAAAGTCCGAAATCCAAATAGAAAATCCGTTACCATTAAGATGTTTGATGAGTGTAAAGAAAAAGTGAAAATGAAGGGGCTGTGGAGGAAATGTGATATCCCGTACTGAGACACTAATGTTCGTGTTTCTTCTTTATAGGGAATCGTGTTCTGCATAGCTGAGCGACGAACTTGGTGAATTCCACTATGTGCTCCGGTAGAAAGAGGCTCTTCATGTCATGAAATAGTAATGACTTTGTGGGCTCCTTCATGTTAGTCTTACTGGAATGGTACCTGGGACATGTTCTAAGGAAGTGTTCTTCATCTTCTATTATCGGATCAACACAAGGAAGATTAACAAAGAGCTCCATCATTGACTTTTCGCTGCAGAATTCACAAATTCGGTGATGTTGACTTCCAGTTCTGCTCCCATATCTTCCAGTTTCTACGTTTAGCTTATGTCCGCTCATTCGGATCCTAGCCACTAAGTTGCTTCCAGTTCTCGACGGTAGCGTGAGGTACGGCTCCTGCTCGAAAGCACCTTTAACTTTATTATAGAACGTAAGCTTCTTATTGCTTTGTCTTTCTGTTTCCCATAGATTGATAAATCGGTTATGTGCCCTTTCCTGACATAACAATGGGTTGTATAGTTGATGTTCAAGTTTGTTCTCGTCGAGTATCGTTAGCATTGATTCCAGTGCTCTGAACCAACCTAAATCAAGTTTCTTCTGCTCAGCAAAAGCGCGCCTGGCTAGGGCTGGTGAGTCTTCTAGTTCAAGTCTTGCAAGGCGATTATGGAAATCGGTGACTTGTTTAACATATCGAACTACAATAGGGGTTCTTCCGCAGTCTCCCCAAACAGCTGCGTTAGATGTCGATTTGGAGAAGCGAAAGATGATGAGATATCAGCAGCTGACAGAAGAGATAGAAGCCAACAGATGGGCTTGCAAGCTCCAGACAGTAGAAGTGCAGGAGCTCGAGGCATTTACAACTATAGCCTCCCAACCTTTATGAACCACCTGAACGTAAAGAACAAAGAAAAGAAGAAGGCCTGCATGAAGATCGCTGAGATCAGCCTGAGGGCATCGTATACCATCTATTTGTCCAAAAAAACTACCATATGGACAGATGATTGGGAGTTAGTCAAGAGACCAGTAATAGCATAGTAGGAGCGTAGAATTTTTGGGCCCAGAAAAACATAAGCCGGGGACTACTATAAAAGTGATGATGCTGTGTTGTTGAAAGACCTTCGACCAATCAAAGATGTACCTCATCACGCCAAGCAGTTATGCTTGTAGGTGAATATACAATTATAGAGTACAACAACTTTATAACACTCCTAAATTGGTGGAATGAATGCCTACCGGCTATTACCCGGCTAATAACCAATAACCTCTTACTGCTGGTTAATACTTTAATACTAATAGCCATAACGAAACACAAGTAAGGGCTGTTAGAGGGCTGTTTATTGTTTAAGTGTTTTCTCCCAAAAATGGCGATTAGAGGGCTGTTAGGTATTTTGCCGTGGAGGCATTGGAGCTCCACTTCTCAAATAAATTAGAGCCATGTAAGGCTGTTAAGAGGTTGACTTGAAACCTATGTTCTGGTTATTTCAACAAGCTGTAAGAATGAGGAAGGGCTTACTTGACTAGACACAATAACAGTTAATCGCACGAGCATTTCATTGCACCCTGCTGCAGGATTGCAGTCTGTTAAGAGGTTAACAACCAGAGAATAGTTGACTTGAAACCTATATTCTGGTTATTTCAACAAGCTGTAAGAATGAGGAAGGGCTTACTTGACTAGACACAATAACAGTTAATCGCACGAGCATTTCATTGCACCCTGCTGCAGGATTGCAGTCTGTTAAGAGGTTAACAACCAGAGAATAGTTGACTTGAAACCTATATTCTGGTTATTTCAACAAGCTGTAAGAATGAGGAAGGGCTTACTTGACTAGACACAATAACAGTTAATCGCACGAGCATTTCATTGCACCCTGCTGCAGGATTGCAGTCTGTTAAGAGGTTAACAACCAGAGAATAGTTGACTTGAAACCTATATTCTGGTTATTTCAACAAGCTGTAAGAATGAGGAAGGGCTTACTTGACTAGACACAATAACAGTTAATCGCACGAGCATTTCATTGCACCCTGCTGCAGGATTGCAGTCTGTTAAGAGGTTAACAACCAGAGAATAGTTGACTTGAAACCTATATTCTGGTTATTTCAACAAGCTGTAAGAATGAGGAAGGGCTTACTTGACTAGACACAATAACAGTTAATCGCACGAGCATTTCATTGCACCCTGCTGCAGGATTGCAGTTTGCTGCACCCTGCTGCACCCTTCTGCAATCTGCTGCACCCTGCTGCCCCCTGCTGCAGGATTGCAGTCTGCTCTTACGTCCCATCAACCCGCGTTAAAGCGCGTTAAATATAATAGAATTTCAGCATCAAGCACATAATACAGTTTATTTCATCCCAAGCCCAGCATATTGTCTTATTGTCTCACAGGAATGCTATATGATGCATCCTTATCTCGGTCTAGGACCCTAAAATCATTTAACTTTTTGGCATTATGCGTTAAACTTTGCCCCAGCTGATGACTTGAGATAAAGCTAATTCGACAAAGCGGTCCGCCCAATTGATCAAAAGTACATATTTTAACGGTTATTTTTATCCGTCAAGGCAACGAAAATATTTTGGAACAGTCGCTAAACAATACCTGCAGTTGTATTGAGAATTAAGAAATTTATCCCATTTTAAAAAGAAATATATCCCATTTTATGCATTATTCTGTCTGAACATAATATGAGTAACTTGTGAATTTGTGGAACATTTTACCATCTGAAAATGCAATGGTGTAACTTAACCTCGATATAACTTGAGTTTCAAACAGGATGAAATTAAGCTGTCATCATTTAATGCGTTATCGCTGAACCATGCGTCATATATCCCCGGCAAAATGTACAATATATTGTCCATTCTTCCATTGATTGCGTCATTTCTCAATATGTATTTTACAAATGCTGTAACGAGAGTTTCACCTGGTTTTTATTTAAGCTAGCTTTCCTGATGATTACCTAGTTGGTAGGTGTTTTGACAGGGGAAAAGCTATTTTGGGTTTCGATTATTCTGAAATCTAAATTCTAATTGGTGTCACGTGACTAAGGATAAAAAGGATTGTTCACCTTTTTACTGTTATACAAAACTATTTCTCTCTATGCGACTGACTCGAAAATCGAAACGTTACTTGAAGATACGTTAAAGTTTCAAATTTGAACAATTGAGTATCAACTGTTTCTTATTCCTAAGTCCTTTATAGAGTACTAGAGTACGATCAGGACTATTTATTATGAATTATCAATACTGCTGTTAAAATCCCGATTTACCGCGCCCCGATTTACCACGATGAAGCCTTCCCCCAAAACTCGCTCTCGGCGGTAAATCGTGGTTATATTACTGTACCTGTTTTAAGCTCGGAAGAGCACATGAAACAGATGTTTCCACAATTAGATAACAGCAATTAGATGATGTGTTATTACTGTATCTAGATGAACCTGATATTTCACGGTAGCTCAAAATCACACGCTTCTCTCCATACGGCCACAATTACGAGTATAACCAATTATGAAATTATGAACCGAACTGCAATTAGTATACTTTGTCCATGTTAATTTTATCGTAAATCTGCACACTTTAATCTAACTCGGTAACTGATAACTGTGGCTGATTATTTGTCTGTAACCCCTTCTACCGTAACCAGATGTTATCGCCACGTACAGACTACACAACTAACGAGGGAATGTTCCCTCAACTTCTTCCTCATTATTCCATGAACTTAATAACAAACTCAACCATCTGTTAAAAGAAACCATCCCTAACGAAATTATGTCAATTCCGGTTAAGTTCACCTTCATTTCCGTCCTCATTTCTGGTCAACAGGATAATTTAATCAGGGTCCCCTCTAACTCTCTAAGTTGTTATCATCACATCAGCTGGCTGAAAATTTCAAATTCCTCACCACAAAATCTGTTTTGTCAACTGTTATATAGAACTCGCTAAATTCTTTAAAGACTCACTGTAATTTCGCTTTTCGGAAGAACTTCAGAGGTTGTCAGTTAATCTTTTTTGCTATTCATTGATTTTATCCTTCCTCTCTGGTAGTCATGGTGACGTTGGTTAATAACTGTGTGAATGATGGCAAGGTACGGGTGTTATCTGGATATAATATTATGAATAATATTATAGATTATGACTTATTATTAATAAGTTATAATCTGTAATAAGTGCTTTCTGATTACTTATACCGAGAAGGAGACAAATTGGAGAAATACATTAAAAAAGATAAAATTTAAATTGAAATAAAAATACATTTGAATCACAATTTTCCTCTAAAACTAAACATTTCCCAATTCAGACGGACGACTTGAATCACGAGTTAAAGGAGTTTCCTAATGGGAACGATTTAGAGACAGGTGAAAATAATCCAGAAAATGATGAGGATGAACCAGGATGTATTAAGGTGAAAATTTAAAGATTATCATTAAAAGATTACTATTAACGAGTTCAAACCACTTTCAACTTTTTATAATTTCAGCTCGGCTACAAGATTAACCTCCAACACGATGAAAATACAAATCTAAATAATTTAAAACTTTTAAAAACTGTTAAGTGAATAACTACGCTATAAAAGTATAAAACTATTGAATAAATACTGCACACCCACTAACTCCCCCAGGCATTCCTGACAGAACACGCCAAAATCATCAGAATAATAAAATATGTGGTGCTCCTCCTCTTCCTCTACTCCTACACTATAGCTGCTAGGATACTGAACCCAGAGCACAGTGAGAAACTGGTCGCTCTCGTTATATTCGGAACTGTTTGTGGGGTCTTGTATGGGATATATCTGGTGAGTTTAGTCTTTTAAATGGCTATATTTAACCTTTTAGAATATTTCCTTGTGTTTGAATTTGCAGATATTTGCTCATCTGCAGTGTTATGTTTGGCCTTATTTGACTGCTTTATTCAAAGTGGATAAAATAAAGCTGTAAATATAAGGGAGTATGTTATTGTTTAACCCATTAGGGACGATAGGGTCGTTTACGACCCACCTTTTCTAGAGGCTATAGAGGACAAACCATAATACTAAACGCAACGAATCTTTCGCACATATGCTCAAAATTTATTGGGCTACATTATTGACTTTCCAGTCGAGACCCAATTAATTACTAACAACTAAATAATTAGGCTAATTAGTCGTCATAATTGGAAAATATTCCACTTTACTTCTTGCCTTGATTGGGACATTAAAACTTTATGTAGGCTTATTTTGTTGAGGACAAAATAGTTGCGGGCAACGATTTCCTTGAGACATATGAAAAGCCCGTGATAATCAGATGTTCACAAACAGAGCTAGACGCTGTTTACTAACTGCGGTCGCATACGACCCACTCGTCCGGGTCGCAAACGACCCATCACGGTTTTTCGGCTTTAACTTCTGAAACAAAGACGTGAGGATAAAATAAAAACTGTAGCATAAGTTAAAAACATATGGTCAACACTGTGTAACTCTAACTTTTTAAAAATAAAGAATTTGGGTCATTAACGACCCACTCGGCTCACTTGCTTATTACTACATATGTCCCTGTAACTTCTTTAATTCAGCCTAAAGCATGACATCATAAGTTCAAAATCGCCTCTCAGCAAGTGATAATCATCATAAACTGCGAAAAATCGGTTAAATGGGTCATTAGCGACCCACTAGGACCACAAAATTGATTAATTAAATATAATGTTGTCAAACTTTTACAAATATTAGTATAAAAACATGTTATATCTTGGTCATTACTCCTGTACGTTGATTTAACTTTTAAAATCGATCAACTGGGTCAACAACGACCCACTCGGAAGTTGAACCACCTCATCAATTATTATCAGTATCATGCTGTTCCACCATCAAGAAAGACACTCGTAGGTCTTAATTCCACGCAAACCACGGGTGGCTGACTACTAGCCCTTCTGAGATCCAGGGCCAACTGAAGGGCCGTCATCACTCATCAAAGAGCTGCGAGAATAACACTACTGCATATGCCTGGAGTTGCGTCCTGACTATAATACTATGGTGCGTGGAAATCTGTACCGAAAGGACCGTGGCCGTGCCGCAAAAGAAAAGGAATCGGCCCTCGTTCCTAACTTGCTAGGTAATAGCCATGCTGTTGTTGTTGCTTATTAGATTCTGTTACCTTTTTCGTCAATTTCGAATCTTGGTAAACGACCTGCTACAACCCACCGCTTGAGACCCAGGGTCCCACGGTGATCAGATCATGTCACTCAAGAAAAATCCCCTGAACGAAGTATACGAGATATCATGTAACCTTGGGTAAATACTGAAAGACGAGTGGTCAAATTGCATATTCTAATCCAACATGCCAATATGTTTTTTTCATTCCTAGAAAGTACGAGAATAACTAAACAACTGCTGCATTCAGATGGCTACATCTACGGCTCTGTGAAGAAGGACAAGGAAAAAGCCCCCCCCCCCCCCCCCCCCCCCCCCCCATTTGGCTGGCGGTGCTGCAACCTGCAATCTCTTAGACAACTACCTCGTTTTGGGTAACAAACCCCGCAACAACGAGGCAGCTTTCAAAACGAAAACAAGTATTACGTAATCGGCCGAGAGGGAGGGGAGTTTCCAAATGGTTAAGCTTGTGAAATTTTGACATAATAGCTATGTGATGGGGGGGGGGGGGGGGCGTAAAAATTGTCCAATAAGTGATTACGTAATATATGAACGGCCCCTAAGAAGTAAAGAAAGGGAGCTGCGAAGAGAGTAGATGCAGCCATCTGAAATCTGAATCCAGCAGTTGTATAGTTCTTCTTGGACGTTCTAGGAATCGGGAAAAGATAGGCATGTTGTTTGCTGTCTCACGACATTACGGTCGTGTACTAACAGCTGATAAACTCACCTACCTATCAATCCAATTCTGCCCATTATTCGTCAGTCATTGGGTGACGTGATCTGCAGATTACCGTGAGACTCCAGATCTCAGAAGGGCTAGTAGTCAGCCACCCGTGGTTTGCGTGGAATTAAGACCTACGAGTGTCTTTCTTGATGGTAGAACAACATGATACTGATAATTAATGTCGTGGTTCAACTTCCGAGTGGGTCGTTATTGACCCAGTTGATCGATTTTAAAATTTAAATCAACGTACAGGAGTAATGACCAAGATATAACATGTTTTTATACTAATATTTGTAAAAGTTTGACAACATTATGTTTAATTAATCAATTTTGTGGTCTTAGTGGGTCGCTAATGACCCATTTAACCGATTTTTCGCAGTTTATGATGATTATCACTTGCTGAGAGGCGATTTTGAACTTATGATGTCATGCTTTAGGCTGAATTCAAGAAGTTACATGGAAATATGTAGTAATAAGCAAGTGAGCCGAGTGGGTCGTTAATGACCCAAATTCTTTATTTTTAAAAAGTTAGAGTCACACAGTATTGACCATATGTTTTTAACTTATGCTTTTTATTTTATTTTATCCTAACGTCTTTGTTTCAGAAGTTAAAGCCGAAAAACCGTGATGGGTCGTTTGCGACCCGGACGAGTGGGTCGTATGCGACCATAGCTGTATCTTTTAAAGTAAACGAGATGCAGATTAGCTTTTTTGGATATCTCATTTTTGCTGTAAAGTGACCTAGTGTGTTAAACGGCATCAAAATTGGCAAACTTTAAAACTCGTCGTCCCTAATGGGTTAAACCAATGGGTTCGAATTATTAACAGTTTAGATTTCCTATTTTCTAAAAACACTCAACATCCTCAGCTGGTCTTATCCTATGATCCTCCAAACATTGTGGAAGTGTTCGAGAAAAAGGTCCCAAAGATTCAGATGATACTAGGTATTATTGTGGGAGTGCTCTTCTTAGCTCTGGTTATATTCTTCATAGTTGATAGTCCTAAAGGATACGAAAAGTTCCGGAAGAGAAAAGCCCAGGTTTATTTTCAATTTTTTGATACTTTTATAAAGTTTTACAGTTTACTTCCAACCAAACATAAAGCAATGGAAGTGGTGGAATTAAATCTAATACGTATTTGAAAATAATTATATGAAGGAATATTCGAATTATTTGAGTTTTTACGAATTCCAGTACATATGAAACAGACTGTATATGTATGTGAAACAGACTGTTATCTGCAGAGTAGTGATAAGATATTTCAGATGAACAGACGTTTCATTAACACCGTGTTTACCCTCTCCAGGCACTGCTTGGGCTCCTCTTGTACGTTCTGCTGTGTTACGTTTGTTCTAAAGATAGGAGTAAGGTGGGTCACAGTTAATTATGTTACATAATTTATGTCACAGTCACATAAATTATGTGGTATAGTCTTAAATGTAATTGTACATGTTACGTAAGTTGTGATAATGAAGATACTGATAACATTTTCACAATATGTCGTCAGAAGTCTTTAGTCAGGGTTTTACCTGCTTTGTTGGCTCTTTAGCTTGGGCGGTGGGCGGGTCTGACTTTTGTATATCTATAATACAATACACATGTCCTTCAAGTCTAAGATAAGTAAACGTTCGGTTAAAACTTGAAATTTGTTTAAAGTTTCAACTTATCTCTTTCACAATTTTAACATTTTTAATTCACCTACTTAATCATATAATTGATCAGATAATAACCCAAAATCCACTGTCTCCAGGTAAGATGGAGGTGCGTACTGTGGGGTCTAGGGATACAATACGTGTTTGCAATGCTAATCCTCAAGACTAAACCCGGGGAAGACTTGTTTGATTTCATTGGAGATCAGACCACTATATTCCTAAGTGAGTGAAGAGAAATAACAGGATTTTCATGTTGGTTTCCATGGTTTATACGCGTCTCCGAGCGATTGACTTATCTTTGTTTTGACAGATCTGATTCCAATGAAACGGAGATATGGCTGATTTAGTCTGCTGGGGAGGAACACATTCTTAAGTTCCTTATCTAGTTTGGGAGACAAAACGAAATTTTTGAACCTCCTAAATCGAGTCAGACTGAGATTACTTTAGGACGGTTGTTGCACAGACGTTGGGTACTAATTGAATAACTGTTTTAGTCTGAAGGCATTTGAAATATGATATTTTGAACTGCATTATACTTAAGATGGTTCGTGACTGTTCTCCAACATACCAACTGCCAAGCCATTAGATATATACTGGTAGCAGAAAAACATGCGTAAAAAAAGATGTTTAATATCAATAATTGTCCAGATTACGCCAGGAAAGGTGGGCTATTTGTGTTTGGTGACGTTGCTATGCAGGGAGCTTACGAGGGCGACGTTCCTGTCGCACATAGGTCTGTGAAAATATTATTAAAAACAATTGTTTTCCAACAAAGTTTACAAGTGAATGATTGATCAAATTAAATTCAGTGGCAATATTTCAACCCGAATTTTTGATTTTTACGACTAAAGTTGATTTACGTGAAGGTGATAGTAAGGAGCCTGCAGCAACGGACTGAGGGGGTAAACCTTGGCCTTCGTAAATTGTACGAACGATCATTCTCCAACATAAACCAATTTCGGCCTTATTTAACATAGGCCGCAGTTGGCTACATCTTGATGACAGTAGCTGAATTATTTACACTTACTCATTTTCAGGTTCGGTTATAGTATCTGGAGTTTTAGTATTATTTACACTTACTCATTTTCAGGTTCGGTTATAGTATCTGGAGTTTTAGTATCCTTATCCCGACTGTAGTCTTCTTCTCAGCTTTTGTATCCATTCTCTTTCATCTGGGAGTCCTTCAAGTTATCATCATGGGTACGTGTGATATTATACATGTCTTAACTTTTGACAATGATCAATTGTGTTACAGCGCTTTCTTAAGAAGATCACCCGTCGGGTCAGAATGACCATTCCGACCTGTTGCACAGGGGGACTTAAGTGCACTTTAGTCCCCCTGTGGTTGGTGCTGATATTCGCGTGGCCTTTAACCCTTTACCTCGAAAAAATCTGTAACTTATACAGAAAATTGGAATATAAAGTCATGGTGTTTGACCTTTTACGAGTACACTTATATATATTTTTTCTTGGTTTTCTTGGCACTTCGTTTATAAATAATAATCTTGTCAGGTATCAGTAAGTTGATGTTCTACACAATGCAGACGTCAGTGGTAGAGTCTCTGAACGCAGCAGGCAACATATTTGTAGGAATGACAGAGGCTCCCCTCATGATCCGACCCTTTCTTCCCCGGATGACGAACTCGGAGATACACGCTGTAATGACGGGGGGATTCGCTACCATCGCAGGTCACTTTCACTTTCACTTTCATTTTCATTTTCACTTTCACTTTCACCTTAAGATTTTGGTGTATAATTTACTGTAATGACGGGGGATTCGCTACCATCGCAGGTTTTTATGATAACGTTATTAATAATATTAGCTTATCGTTTGCAATAGATCCATCAATATTTAACTTTGAAGCATCGGTAATTCATTTAAGAATTCGAGATTGATTTGTTTGACTGATTTACAGCTGTGGTTTTTACTGATGTTTGTCCTATGCAGGTGGTGTGTTGGCAGCCTACATTGGTATGGGTATTCCAGCTAAACATCTCATAGCAGCTTCTGTAATGAGCTGTCCTGCTGCTCTGGCTATCTCTAAACTCGTCTATCCTGAACGAGGTTCGTTTAGCATTCACTTTCATTTTCACTTTCACCTTAAAATTTACACCCCAATATCGTCTAGATTTTAGTATATAATTTTGATGTATAATTTTACGTTGACTTATTCTATGGTGATCATTTCAGTCTCTTTTAAACAACATTTGTTAAGTTTGTAACTGTTCAGAAAAGAGTGAATATGCTTCTGGGCAACAATTCGTTATTCCTAAGTTGGAGGATGCTAAAAACTTCATTGAAGCCGCAAAGAATGGGGCAGCAGTTTCAATAGGTACGTTTTAGACGGATTCCTTATACTTTACTCGTTAATATTGTGGCGGTTGGAACTTGGGAGTTTTTGGGACATCCCGTTAAATATTTTTAACAGTCGATATTTTTAACAATCGATATTTTTAACAATCATAATTTAACCCGCTACAAGGTAACCCACATACATTAACATTTGGCAATGTCTGTGGCTCCGTTATAATTAACTTTTTATAAATCTTATACTTAGATGATTGTCTTAATATAAACTTAAACCTTTCAGTTTTAATTAAACTCTTTGACTTAGTACGCTGGTACAAACTAACAAATCTAATAAGAAAATAAGTAAATTTGGGTTCATTTGCAGGTCTGTGCGCTAACATCATTGTGATGTTGATAGCCTTCATATCTTTCTACGACTGCTTCCAAACTTGGTTCAGATACTTTGCTTTGTGTGTAAACTGGGATATCACCTTCACGGTAAGTGGTGTTTACTCTTTCTTCGATAGAATATATTATCTGAAATTGAAATAAATAATAAAACTGTTTTTATTATCAGTATCACCTCAGAATCATCAAATATTTTGTCCGACTAAAAAAGATTTTAATCATTTAAATGTTCACTGAGACGTTTGATAATCAATACATTACATTTAATTTATATTCTAATTTATAATTTGTAATTTAATTACACAGGAACTGATAGGATACATCTTCGTTCCCTTTGCCTGGATGCTGGGAATAGAGGAGAGTCAATGTCAGCACGCCGGGGAGTTGCTCGCTTTGAAGATATTAGTTAACGAGTACGTGGCGTACGCTACTCTGGCTCAGAAATTAAAGGTAAAGTAGCGGCAGTTGTACTTGTAAATTAAAGGTAAAGTAGCGGCAGTTGTACTTGTAAATTAAAGGTAAAGTAGCGGCAGTTGTACTTGCAAATTAACGGTAAAGTAGCGGCAGTTGTACTTGTAAATTAACGGTAAAGTAGCGGCAGTTGTACTTGTAAATTAACGGTAAAGTAGCGGCAGTTGTACTTGTAAATTAAAGGTAAAGTAGCGGCAGTTGTACTTGTAAATTAAAGGTAAAGTAGCGGCAGTTGTACTTGTAAATTAAAGGTAAAGTAGCGGCAGTTGTACTTGTAAATTAAAGGTAAAGTAGCGGCAGTTGTACTTGTAAATTAAAGGTAAAGTAGCGGCAGTTGTACTTGTAAATTAAAGGTAAAGTAGCGGCAGTTGTACTTGTAAATTAAAGGTAAACTTCATTTCCACTGTGGACCCCTCTTTTCAATTGGAAAGCCTTAAGATTACACTCATACTAAATTACATCATAAAATCACTTCAACGCATTCCTACTTTTAATCAAGATAACATTATATTATATTACTAAAACTTATTCACATATTAATTATACATGATAACCTAATAGATTACAAATACTTATTCGCGTATTTAATCAGGATAATCTTATCAACACGAGAACAGAGGTGTTGATGACGTATGCTCTGTGCGGCTTTGGGAACATATCTTCCATGGGAATACAAGTAAGTTATACATTAATTAAGGGTCATTTAATCAATAATGACAATGGACATCTCTAATTCATTGAAAGATTGAAATAGAGCCAACTAGCTTAGGGACGTATCAGCGTAATTGTAAATTAAGTTACAAAGTAACGTTATACGCATTTCTCATCGATTCTGAAGAAATGAAAAATCGAATTGTACTTTTAATTGAAATATGTTGTTACTTTTATTTGAAATATGTTTTCAATTCTATTCAATTAACATCTTATCTTATTAAGCTATCTAAAGCCGACACGAACCAAAACGAACCAAAACATTGCACATTTACTGAATGATTAAATAACGATAACCTCAGGTCGGAGCACTGTCAGTGATGGCTCCCTCCAGAAAGTCAGACCTAGCAAAGCTAGTAGTGAGTGCTATGTTAGCGGGAACTGTTGCCTGTCAGATGACTGCTTGTATCGCGGGCATCCTCCTCGACGTTGAATAGGAGTTAGAGATAAAACTAATCAAGTAACTAGGAATATATTCCAAATAGGGATTGAGTAACTATGAATCTATAACTCCAAGAATAGGAATGAAATATAGAACTCCACAGTTAGAACCCCTCAGATCAGATATACTGTGTTGCAACCACTTGTGGACTAATCCAAGCCAAGTTGGCTCAAAGCCAAGTTGGCTCAAAGCCAAGTTGACTCCAAGCCAAGTTGCTATAACACTAACACACTGGGTCCCGGGGCCCAGTGAATCAAAACTTTTATACCACACTTTCAGATTATAGGGAATATTAACAGAGAACACTTTCACTTTCACATTATAAGGTTTACTAACAGCGAACACTTTCCACTTTCCCAGTGAATCAAACCTTTTATCAGAGTTGAAAAATACGTGAGATAATTTTTTAAATACGCCGTATTTTGCGTATTTTTGCTTAGAAATAAAATACGTCAAAAATACGTCATTCGTTTGCATTTTTTTTTCGAACACATTTCTATTTAACTTCAACGCTTTATATAATGCTTTGGTATAGCACGTGCCCAGTACTCTGAAGTCATATGCGAGGTGAAAAACGACAGAGCTACGCGAGTTTTGATAAAATCGTAAATTTATATAAAGCAATAGTACTTATTACTTTATTGGAGCTATCAATGGTACAAAAACGCTTTTTACGTATTTTATTCAACAAAAATAAAATACGCCGTATTTAACGTATTTTTGATATTTTATAAAATTCGTAAAATACGTATTTTTCAACTCTGCCTTTTATACCACACTTTCAGATTATAGGGAATATTAACAGAGAACACTTTCACTTTCAGATTATAAGGTTTACTAACTAGAAACACTTTCACTTTCAGATTATAAGGTTCACTAATAGTAAACACTTTCACTTTCACTTTCACATTATAAGGTTTACTAACAGCGAACAATTTCCACTTTCCCAGTGAATCAAACCTTTTATACCACACTTTCATTTTAAGATTATAGGGAATGCTAATACAGAATACTCACGATTATAGTAAATACTAACAGCAACCACTCAATTAACTAACTTTTAGTTTTTACCGGCTGTCATTTATATTATTTACTAGCCACTCGAATGAAAAGTCGCGATTATCAATTAAGCAAGTGCTCTTTTATACGAATATGCTAGTTTAATAACAGCTGACTGTTTTGTTTTATATAACGATTGATTTATATTTAGAATTATTGGTTTATTTTGGCAATTTTCGAAATTTTATTTACGGCTTGTACCCAAGTAAAAATTCAATAGAATGAATTGTTTAACGATATTGTTTGAAACGTTTCGTACAACCTAGAACACTCGTCTTTCTAATTCATTTTACCACGTAGACTTTTAGGACCTTAACTGATAGTTGAAATTCGACATATGACGTCATCTAGCGTCATCTAGCGTCATCAAGCGTGAAATATCGCCAGATGATGATAGATGATGATAGATGACGCTAGATGACGCCAATTAGCGACATTGTCGCTAAGTGCACGGCACCTTTCGAATGTCGCTATCTAGCGCTATCTAGCGCTATCTAGCGCTATCTAGCGCTATATGACGCTATATGACGCTAGATGACGCTACATGACGCTAGATGACGCTAAGCACGCAACACTGACGCCAGGCGACAGATAGCGCTATTTTCATAAAAATTCTAGGGACGACATCTAGCGTCATCTAGCGTCATATGTTGCCGCGACATCTGACGCTATCTGACGCCATCTAGCGATATCTGACGTCATCTGACGACATCTGTCGCGACGACATCTGACGCAGGCGACATCAAGCGCTGGATAGCGGGATAAGTCAGTTTACGACAGTTTACGCTATCTAGCGCTATATAGCGCCAGATAGCGCTATATGGCGTCAGATGTTGTTGCGACATATAGCGCTAGATAGCGTTAGATAGCGCTAAATAGCGTTAGATAGCGCTAAATAGCGAAGAATTTTGGGTCGTGACAGTCCAGGCTATTTAGCGCTAGATGTCGCTATCTAGCGCTATATGTCGCTGCGTCAGATGTCGTCGCTACATATATAGCACAAGATATCATATCCTATCACAGTAACAGTAATCCTAACTCTGTGTGTTTGTGTGTGTGTGTGTGTGTGTGTGTGTGTGTGTGTGTGTGTGTGTGTGTGTGTGTGTGTGTGTGTGTGTGTGTGTGTGTGTGTGTGTGTGTGTGTGTGTGTGTGTGTGTGTGTGTGTGTGTGTGTGTGTGTGTGTGTGTGTGTGTGTGTGTGTGTGTGTGTGTGTGTGTGTGTGTGTGTGTGTGTGTGTGTGTGTGTGTTTTACTGGGACCGTAAGCGCAGCCTGTCTTTTCCCACCCAATCTTTTTTGTTATTTTTATTTTATATGAAAATTAATTTTTACTGTGTATGAAAATTAATTATAATTTAAGTGAGAATGCAAATGATATAACTATATAATATATAATAAGCTTGCGCGGCTCGTCGAAGTCACCCAACTATTACACTCGATTTATCAAATATTCGGCTGAGTGGAACAAAATATTAAATATCACTTAATCAAGGGGTCGTTTACATATTATAATTATATAAAGGGCCTAATGCCGCCGGCCGGGGTTTTCCAAATTATTACGCTCGCTAGTTTACCTGGGGACCTCAGGCTATTATGTTCATAAACCGAATAGAGATCGATTAGGCGGAATGACAGGCTGAGCGCGGCCCAGTAATCGCTAGTGTGATTGTGACATAATACTAATATAGCTTAATATAGGGGGTGCACGATAAAAAATAAACTTGCTCGGATTTTAAAAATTTTTGTACCACTGTTTTCTAGAGACTGTGAGAATTTTCACAATACCAAATTTGTTATACCTTTTTGGAAAGATCAGTGAGTTTCGCCTATGTACTGTGCCATATTTGATGGTGCGCGGCTTTTGGAGCAAAAGTAGCTGTAAAACATAAAAGTCGCGTAATTTGACCAAATTCGTCCAAATTTGACCATTTTTATCGTATTATTCGGATTTATCTTCAGTTCCTTAAATGAGATCATTCTGGAAATTGGCGACGACCTTCCAATAGGGCTTTTACAACTGTCCGAAAAATTTGGTGGATATCGGAGTTGATATAGTGATCAAAATGGGGCAAAATACGCTGCTTTTAGCTGTAACATAATGTCTGATGGTTGGATATGCTTTAAATTTTTCGGACACTTTCCTTGTAAGTCTATGAGTAAGCTTACCAATTTTTGTTGCAATTGGAGGTCGGGAAGGATACTCAATATCTATTTGTTTGAAGAAAATTGTGCTGGCCGAAATTAGCGCTAAAAAACCATCCTACAGTCGGCACGCGCGGCTCACTGTCGATGGCGCACTACCTACTTAATAGCTATGTATGGAACTGATTACTAACAATGAGAGGTCGTTCACATACCCCGTAATCAGTTTTACCATATCTATTATATTTGTATATATAATAGCCTGAGGTCCCCAGGTAAACCCCAACCTCCTCAGCTGATTACGTAATACTAATATGTAAACGACCGTCGACCCTTAACATTTCGGGATCGGAAGAAAGCGGCACGTACTATTTCGTTACTGGGCCGCGCTCAGCCTGTCATTCCGCCAAATCTTTATTTGTTTATGAACATAATAGCCTGGGGTCCCCAGGTAATATTTCGACGAAATTTATACAAGTTACAGCTCAGTGGTGCATTTCGCCGAAAAGCATTATTGGATACCGAGAAGCATTTTTGGATGCGCGGCGCGACACACTCACAGTAACGCATCGCGTTGATTCACGATGTCAATCCTTCACTGTTCATGTTCACAGCTCGGTGAGGCCCAGTTATGGTGCATATCGCCAATTTAGTAACATAGTTGGTCAGTTCGTACAAAAATCGTAAAAAATTCGTACAGTTCGGCACGTTTTTTCAGTTTGGGATTATTTTGGGAAAAATTCGCCTCATAAATTTTCGAAATATATAATAAAAAGCTAATTGCAAAAATTTGTGTTAAAATGGCGGGAAACGATGAAATGTAACCTCCCGGACAAAAATAACAAATTTTTCGGACTGAAGTGATTACTTGTAATTGTAGCGCGATGCACTACTGGGTCGCGCGCGCATCAAATAATGCTTCTCGCAAGCAAATCGGCGAGATGCGAAGGATTGACATCGTCAATCAAGTGATTACTGATTAAAAAACAAAATTGTTAAAAAAAATTCGGTAAAAATTCCTCGACAGCTTTTTAAAATTTGTACAGTTCGATACCTTTTAAAAGTTCGTACATAAAGTAACGTACTGACCAAGTATGTTTAGTAAAGCACTAGTGGTTGCAAGAAGCATTATATTATTGGCTGCGCGGCGCGGCCCAGTAGTGCATCGCGCTACAACAAAAATCGTCAATTAGATTACTCGAAGCTCAAAGCTGTAAAGTATTTATCCAAAATAATTCCGATCCCGATCCCGATTGTTACTGGGCCGCGCTCAGCCTGTCATTCCGCCAAATCTTTATTCGCCAAATCTTAATGTTTATGAACATGTACATAATAGCTTGGGTCCCCATGTAAGTTACTGGGCCGCGCTCAGCCTGTCATTCCGCCAAATCTATATATCTGTTAATGAACATAATAGCCTGGGGTCCTCAGGTAACAGGTAAGAGGATTGACATAACTTATAAATTTATAATATATTAATTGAAATTCTAAATACTGAATTCATCGCATTTTAAGGGTTTTGGTATTTTCGTAGCTAAATTGCACTAAAGCTTTCGCGCTTGCACTTCACACTTGCGCGTAGTTCGTAAACTGAAAACTCGTGGGTACGATATATGTGATTACTGAACAATAAATTCGGCTCGACTCTCATTACATTCTTTTGATAACTTGCTGTGCGAGATTTCAATACTATTAATTAAGCCTATACCAGCCGGCAAAGTTTTTATATCTAGACAGATAGCGCTATCTAGCGCTATCTAGCGTAAACTGTCACAAACCGACATTCTCCGCTAGATAGCGCCAGATAGCGCTAGTAAGCGCTAGATAGCGCTGCGTCAGATGTCGTTGCGACATATAGCGTTAGATAGCGCTAGATACCGCTAGATGTCGCAAAAAAAAGGGCGGAAATTTTATGAAAATAGCGCTATCTGTCGCCTGGTGTCAGTGCTGCGTGCTTAGCGTCATCTAGCGTCATCTAGCGTCATCTAGCGTCATCTAGCGTCATATAGCGTCATATAGCGTCATATAGCGCTAGATAGCGCTAGATAGCGCTAGATAGCGCTAGATAGCGACATTCGAAAGGTGCCGTGCACTTAGCGACAATGTCGCTAATTGGCGTCATCTAGCGTCATCTAGCGTCATCTAGCGTCATCTATCATCATCTGGCGATATTTCACGCTAGATGACGCTAGATGACGCTAGATGACGTCATATGTCGAATTTCAACTATCAGTAAAGGTCCGACTTTTACACACCACCAGTACCACAATTTACATTTCTTTATTAATTCCGAATCCAGGTATGAAACCAAAATTAATCAAACTGCAGTTTACATTTTGATATGATGAAAATGATATTAACAAAGAAACTGATAACTTTCACATAAATTAAATCTCACATAATAACTCAATTGCAGTGAAAGTCCTGATTTCATTATACCCGCAGACAATACTAACTTCTTAACTTTAAAAGTAAGCAGTAACTATACTAAACTACTGTTACTTTTCTAACAGTAATTAATTTTGTTATTTTCAAGCCCTCTTCTGCTTGTTCAGTCTGTATGTTATTCTTTGAACAGCAGCTCTTGTTGTTGAAGGATAATCATTTATTCTTTTATTCCCTACTTCAAGTCCATCTCGCATGACAATAAAAATGCTGATTTGTTCCCGAGATGCTTCATTGATACAGTTGATTACAATAAACAGCACTGAGTACTCCTTTATAATAACTTCCATTATTTGGAGCGGCTAAGTCACTGAATGTGTGCTAGCATTGTCGATAGAGAAATTCTCTTCGTCTTTTAATCTGAAATGATAACAAAAATTCATATTAAATTCACATATTAAAATAAGGTAAATTTGATGATGCGATGGCTTCTAATTAGAGAGTTAGAGACAACCCGCCCAATTTAAACCGAAAGTTTTTTTTAATTTAGGGTAATAAAAGTGGAAATATGTAATAGAAAAAGGTAATAAAAGTATAAATTCACCTTTTCTGAGCTCTTTTGATGGCGATTTCTCGTTCTGAGCACATAAAAAGTCCAGCAAAGCCGATAATCACTCCAATAATCACCAGAAACAGAATGACAACTAAAATATGAGACATTTAATCAGACTGTCATACTTTGGGGTGTATAATTGTGTAAAAGTGCTAAAGGTTAGAAAGTTTGATAATTTCACTAATAGTGACGCTAATATTAATGGTGTTATACGGCTCGATTGGTGCTGAACACAAATCACGATTACAAAGCTACAAATCTCATGTGAGCCATTTGACGTCATATTTTTAGAAAAAACCTACAAACGTACATTTGCTATTGACTTAGTTCCAACCCTGGTAGTATAAGTAGTAAACTTACATTTGCTAGCAACTGGATCCAGACTCCCTAACCGTATGCCGTGTCCCTTTTCTGAAACAAATTAGAGCTTTAAGTTATAATCAAATACATCCTGCAACCAGTCAACCAGATTTTAACCATTTAACCTGAATTGTACTTTTTCGGTCATACATCCGGATCCCGATGGCACTGTCCCGGCACCGGGCACTCTTGTGGCACTGTCGCTAGCTTGCCGCCATAGTGCCACGACATTGCCGCGACAGTGCTGCCAAAAAATCTTGTCCTAACTGTTTCACTGTTTGAGGTGACGTGAAAGATAGTGGAAGTGGAGCACTGCACGCTCCACTTTTTGAAACCTACAATGGTTACCATGGCAACAATGGAAACATTTCCTCTTGATATCGTCTCCTTTCTTATCAAAGTTTTGAATCTTATAATTTAGATTATACTGTAGAGTTTAGTTCAGCTGTCTAATATCTATAACATCACTTTAAGTTACAAATAGAAAAGCATGGAGAGAGTTAAGCATGATTTAGTTTATTCTGTGTTATTTTTCTCTTGGTGACTTATCAGGTTATCAAGATGTTCTTTATGTTTTATTTTTGATTTGAATAAAGTTATATAATAATAAGTTACAAATTTCTCCCCAACAGAAAGATCCCTAAGTGAAATGATTTTAAGTAAAAGATCATTAAATTAAAATAAAAGAACCCTAAGGGATTCAGTGAAATTAAATGAATGCAAATTCAAAGCATCAAATTATGCAAATAAATTTTCAATGAAATGAAAAATAGATACTAAATTTAAAATGCCAGGTATTTAGTACTTTAGTATACCACATGACTGTCACTCTACATCACACTTTGACAGGTTAATGGGTCACTCTGAATAGTGACCACCAAAACTAACCAGGCGAATCTCCTCCCGACAGTTGTGCAGCGTTTTCTGTACCATTGTTACCATGGTTACCATTGTTACTCCTCTCGTCTCGTTCCTCCGTAACTCTAACAGGTGTCGTCCAGTAAGTCACGTGACGCTCAGCCCGAACTGGTGCTGTACAGAACGATAATACCAAGATAAACAAATAATGGAGGTTCAACATGATAGCTAGTGTGAAAACAAAACGAAATACACCGAAAAAGTTATCACTGTCTACAATGGTTACCAAGGCAACCAAATCGTACTCATGATATTGAACGTGTGATTGTCAGTGTCACAATTGTAACGGTAAACATTATATATATATACATAGTGCTATAATTAGCACTGAAATTAACTTTGATGTCAGAATTTTCGTGGCTCTAATTACTGGGATGATCTGATTATAAGTTTAACCCTGATTAATCGGGGGAAGTAATCGGTAAATCGTAAAATCGGGGTACCCAGTAAATTAGGGCTGACATTCACATTAAATAAAATATATAGATGATTACTTTCGAGGGAATCTGAGAAAAATATGTGGATTATGGGGGTTCCCCAGTTCCTGCTCTAACTATCTAATGAACTGGTTAAGTGGTTATACTTATCATAACTTCGTAAGCAGTAGCTAAAACCTGGATCTGGTGAATTTTAATTTCTTAATTAACCACTGGTAATTTGTAAATTTGAAGTTACAACTGATAACTTTTCTAAGCTTTTTTCTTCGTGATCTAACAAAGTCATTATTGTATGATCTTTTAATCTTTGAATTGAAGCTTTGCTCGGCTGTAATTGTTTTACTGTCGTTTTCCTCACACGAGATACTATTTTTTGGTTTTCAGTGATGTTTTTAAATTTCTTTTACATTTTTGAATTCGTGAATACAGAAAGAATTGTTTTAATGTTACAGTCCTAATTCTCCTCGCGTCCTAGGATCTTAAGATGGCGTTTCTTTTGTCTCATAGTTCAACTCTTATATTAACAGCGTACAATATAACTCATTAACTGAACGACGGGTGCCTCGTGCTTTGCATTCATGTTTTGTTCTGATTCATAAACAAAGTAACTCAGATGAAAAATATGTGAATCCAAAGAATCTGATTCTGGAAATATTTCGTCCACTGGAAATATGTGAAGCATGCAGAATGAACAAAATACTCGATACAAGTGCACTGTGCAAGCTGATAGCTTGACCATGAGTTAAAACTAATACAGAAGGTATGTTGAAACGTTGTAACTTACCGACGTAACAAAAGGTCTCATTTACAGATGTGTAGTTGTGATGTGTGAAATCAGTCCAAGAGTAGGAGGGAGGTGGGGAGGTTACCAACCCTGGAGAGAGAGAGAGGGTTACTATGGTAGGTTACCATGGTAACTGTAATGTTACTGCAGGTGATCTCATGACAGCAGCTTGCAGTCATGTGATTGATTAGTTATAGAATTACAACTCAATCATGATTGTAAACGATATAATGTACTAATGAAAGACCGCGTCTGTTCTTCTAGAGAGAGAGAGGGTTACTATGGTAGGTTACCATGGTTACTGGAATGTTACTTACCAGTACTACTTTCCCCATCAATTGTGTACCCCTCCGTGCTCCCCTCCATCTGATTATTGTATAAACTTGTTATATAAGAACTGGGCAGAGCTTCAGACCAGAGTGTGAAACCACAGAGTGAACCAACAAGACCACCGTTAGAGGGATATCTCGAACCTTCTGACTGCAATCCTAGAGTATTTTAGTAATGTGGGGGGGGGGGGGGGGGCGGTATTTTAGTAATGTGGGGGAGAGTGTTTTAGTAATGTGGGGGACAGTATTTTAGTAATGTGAGGGGCGGTATTTTATTAATGTGGGGGGCGGTATTTTAGTAATGTGGGGGACAGTATTTTAGTAATGTGGGGGGCGGTATTTTAGTAATGTGGGGGCGGTATTTTATTAATGTGGGGGAAAGTATTTTAGCAATGTGGGGGACAGTATTTTAGTAATGTGGGGAACAGTATTTTAGTAATGTGGGGGACAGTATTTTAGTAATGTGGGGGACAGTATTTTAGTAATGTGGGGGGCGGTATTTTAGTAATGTGGGGGGCGGTATTTTATTAATGTGGGGGAAAGTATTTTAGCAATGTGGGGGACAGTATTTTAGTAATGTGGGGAACAGTATTTTAGTAATGTGGGGGACAGTATTTTAGTAATGTGGGGGGCGGTATTTTAGTAATGTGGGGGGCGGTATTTTAGTAATGTGGGGGGCGGTATTTTAGTAATGTGGGGGACGGTATTTTAGTAATGTGGGGGGGGGGCGGTATTTTATTAATGTGGGGGAGGGGGCGAAAAATGGGGCGAAATGGCTGTTGATAGTTGAACCAAAATGTTTTGTTGTTTAACTGCAACATTTCAAACTATCAGGAGGAAAAAAAGGAAACTAAAAGTAAAACATATGATGGTGCATGCCTGTAGCGGACAGAATAACAGCTTAACAGGGAGAGAGAACACACCTGCCGACCAGACGCCGGTAAAGTCCAAGTCTAGGACAGTGTCGTTACTTATATCTGATACTTCACCATGCTGTTCTCCGTTAACGAACGTAGTCACTCCTTAATGGAATATTTAATATTATAGTTTGGATTGATTATTAAAATATTTAAATAATAGTTAATTACAAATAAATTTGACGCTTAAATAACAAAAAGCCCCTCAATCCTCATGCAAATTGTAATTGATGAAATAAATTGTTTTATGAAATAACTTTCATACGATTGTGGATTACATGTCCGTCAACTTTAATATTACTTAAGTATTAAATAAGTATAACTAAATAAATATAACGTAATAGATTGATGATTTCTTGGGTAAATTTCTATTGATTGCGTGATCCCGTTTGATGCGACAAGGAAAAGGCTCTTATCAGAAAAGGACTTATTCAACGTTTCAATGTGACAACATCGTATTCATGATCTCAAATTATTTGTTATATTATAGTAGTGTTGAAAGTATTAAAATAATAGATTGAAGTTTGAACTGCTAACCTTTATCTATGTGCCAAGTAACACATATGTGAGTACTCGTAGACTCGTCAAATATCGTAATATCAGCTGCTGTATTATTTGAGAATATTACCTGAAAATATGTTGAGTTTGACAGCCCACACATGTTGCAAAAGTAATTTTATTGAATATTGTAATAAAAGGTTATGTTACAGTGTAATATTGGCAGAAATTACGATGAAGTTTTGGTATTTAGGTATTTGTTTTAGGGAAAGATTAGACTTGGGCGTTGTTTTTTAACTATCGCTTGTTTAGAACTTTTATCTAATAATTATAGTTTAATAATAGATAGTATTTCAAAGTGGCGACAGTTTAAATTGGCCCCTGGCATCACTGAAAATGTTACCCCTGATTTTATGTGAATATCAACTGATAGCATTTCTAAAAACTCAGCAGGAATATCAATTTGCATTTGACGCTTGGAAGATATTTGGTAATAAATCATAATTACAAACACAATCTCTAATTTTGTTGAATTGTGGACGATGTCAAATGCAAATATTCAACTGAATAGTTTTCACTTTGGTGATGGTATGCCTAATAAATTCCAGAACTATGCGTGTACGTGGTACATAAAACTGGCATCTTTGCAATGAATAGCAATTGTTGTTAAGAAAGTTAAGACGGGCCGCACAGTCGCGGGCTATCAAAAGAATTAAGTTAGAACATTATAACTACAAACTAAGTTAACCTTATACAAAGTCAGTAAAACATAGTCTAAGTTAAATCATTAGTCCTAATAGTACTACAAAGTCAGTAAAAAGTTGTTGGTAACAGGAAAAAATTGTTAAAATAACCGATTGTAACTAAGTGAGACAACAAATCAAGGTTTACAGTACAGTTTCTAACACAGAAAGAAAATATATCCTTGTGTTTGAACACAGATATAATTTATAGTACCTGTCTAGTGGAGATGTATAAAACCGGCACTCTCTCAGGGTCCACATAACTAACAAGGTCGTACACGGCGTCCTGTAACGGCCTAACCCACAAGCACACTGAGATCTGGTCTGAAACGTTTAGTTGGGGCGTACTGGTGATGGAGTAGCCGTGCCCGTCTGAGCTTGTTGTCGTGTTACAGCCTGGTGAGAAGAGAGGATTTGTTGTTATTTCATATTTTACACCATTCCCTGATTTTGTTGTAATTATATGTACTATTTCGTGGCTTCATAAAACAATTCTGACGAATCTAAATTTACCATGGAAAAAGGGATATAAGTTGGTCGAAAATTAAACGTTTTTGTTAGTGCATTGTATTTATGAATAAAGACCCAATTACAAAATTCCACAAAATTCTACTAAAATTTACCAAAAAAAAAGGATAAGTTGGTCGAAAATTAAACGTTTTAGTTGGTGCATTGTCTTTATGAGGCTACAAAGAAAGACCAAATTATAAAATCCCAGGATGCTGGATACTGAAATTGTATATTAGTGTGAACCGGTACACGCCAATCAAACAGAGTTACACACCAATTCCTACTAAAACTGAGAACCATTTTCCCCCTTTTTAAATATCATCTCTTGCAAGAAAATATTTCCTTGCGTTTGAACACTTACATTTTAAACCGTACACGACGGGTAGTAGGAGAAAGGGAAGCACGTGATACTGATAGGTTCTCATTCCTACTGTTACAACAACACCATCAGTCAACAACCTCCTCTGTTTAGTTTATATCATATTCATTAGTTCCTGACATGGGAGAGGTTTAGTTTGATATCCAGATTATTATAATGATATTCGTATGAAGGCTAGTTTTCCTGATACAGGAGACAGTTAAAAGATCATAGCAAAAACATCTGCAATCGTATCTCCTCTAAGTTTCATTGAGGGAGGAGAATGAAAAGAAACCTAAAAGAGTTGTCGGACCGACATGAATGATCGGAAGTTAATATTAATTCGGAAAGGTTGCAGAAACAATAAAAAACAAGTCATAAAATGTTATTAAATAAAGTATTACAGCTACAGTGTCTTATAGGCTGAAGAAAGTGCCACCACGAAAATACGACTATTTTATCAATATTGAAACTTTATTTAATATCTTATAAACAATTATATATTATTGATGTGATTGACATTATATGCTTATATGGTTAGACCGGATATCAAATTGAACAAAAAATATATTATACATTATTATAATAATATGTACATTGTACAAACCATTTAGAAATAACAGTGCAATTAATCAGCGTTTAATTATAAGTTATTCTGAACACGAGAAAGCAAGACTAAACAACGAAATACAGCTTGGTAAAATTGGTCTAAATCTAATTACAAATTATTCATAGCAAGCGTAGGGCCTCTCGTGATATCATGGATCACTTAAAGACTTAATAAGCAAGCGGTTCCATTCTTTATAGAACGCATATATAACCCACGAATCGAACAATTATTTGTCGATTATGAAATGAAATAAAAGATAATTGCCTAGTACGTGTCTATGCAGTGTCAGTATATCATTTAAGATAGACTGAAAGTACGTGTCTACAGTATACAGACTGTATATAATAGACTGAAAGTCTATGCGTAACAAACATAACAAAGTTAGACTCGCTTTCCATAATACCTCTCTTGTGGCTGTTGAAAATGATATTCAATTAAAGAAGCCAGCCATGGAAGAACGGTAAAACAACCAAAAATAAATGGCAAAAATGCAAAACAAGCAAAAGTAGAATGTAAAATAACATTATATGTATGCTTGATAGACGGGCATAATAACAAACATCCGGAAATAGTGTCTTTATCTGCAAGGTGAAACACTTAAAGGGTTTCCAGCATAGTTTGCTGTGGTTAATATATAAATATCTAAATATCTTACGTCCGCATTATTTGGTCCGACGGGAAATTTAGACGGGAAATTTTAGGGTTATCTCACCATGAATCTTTATTCTCAATCCTAACTGAAATCTTTTATTTTGATGAATGTTGTTGAAGAAGAGAGAATCTCCACTCAGTGTTTTAAAAACAAATTATTTGTCGACGTTTCGGCAACATGCCTTTGTAATTTTGCAGCTATGTTAGTTATTATAACGTCCTGTCTATGACAAAGGCATGTTGCCGAAACGTCGACAAATAATTTGTTTTTAAAACACTACGTAAGTGGAGATTCTCACTTCTTCAACAACAATCATCAAAATAAATGATTGATCCACTCATAAGAGCGAAAAAGGATGACCATTAACTGAAATCTGTTTAAAATAACAGCCATCGCAAATTGAAAAGCAAAATCCCCAAATTTGAAAAATATTTTTACCCAAATATTTTTATTGAGAGGCTTCATATCTAAATATCAACATAGCATAGTCATAACCCTATATATCAACAATGTTATGTTGATTCAACATAAAATTGTCCAGGAATATGGATACCTGGAATATAGATACATCAAATTGTCCGTTGGTAGACCCAAGGTATTTTACAGGGTACGGTTACTCGACTAGTAGTAGACCAAATATGTGTTGCTCTGAACCAGGCATAAAGTAAGCCTGGTGTTGCTCTGAACCAGGCATGAAGTAAGCTTGTTGTTGCTCTAAACCAGGCATGAAGTAAGCCTGTGTTGCTCTGAACCAGGTATGAAGTAAGCCTGGTGTTGCTCTGAACCAGGCATGAAGTAAGCCTGTGTTGCTCTGAACCAGGTATGAAGTAAGCCTGGTGTTGCTCTGAACCAGGCATGAAGTAAGCCTGGTGTTGCTCTGAACCAGGCATGAAGTAAGCCTGGTGTTGCTCTGAACCAGGTATGAAGTAAGCCTGGTGTTGCTCTGAACCAGGTATGAAGTAAGCCTGGTGTTGCTCTGAACCAGGTATGAAGTAAGCCTGGTGTTGCTCTGAACCAGGCATGAAGTAAGCCTGGTGTTGCTCTGAACCAGGCATGAAGTAAGCCTGGTGTTGCTCTGAACCAGGCATGAAGTAAGCCTGGTGTTGCTCTGAACCAGGTATGAAGTAAGCCTGGTGTTGCTCTGAACCAGGCATGAAGTAAGCCTGGTGTTGCTTTGAACCAGGTATGAAGTAAGCCTGGTGTTGCTCTGAACCAGGTATGAAGTAAGCCTGGTGTTGCTCTGAACCAGGTATGAAGTAAGCCTGGTGTTGCTCTGAACCAGGCATGAAGTAAGCCTGGTGTTGCTCTGAACCAGGTATGAAGTAAGCCTGGTGTTGCTCTGAACCAGGTATGAAGTAAGCCTGGTGTTGCTCTGAACCAGGCATGAAGTAAGCCTGCTGTTGCTCTGAACCAGGCATGAAGTAAGCCTGGTGTTGCTCTGAACCAGGCATGAAGTAAGCCTGGTGTTGCTCTGAACCAGGCATGAAGTAAGCCTGGTGTTGCTCTGAACCAGGCATGAAGTAAGCCTGGTGTTGCTCTGAACCAGGTATGAAGTAAGCCTGGTGTTGCTCTGAACCAGGTATGAAGTAAGCCTGGTGTTGCTCTGAACCAGGCATGAAGTAAGCCTGGTGTTGCTCTGAACCAGGCATGAAGTAAGCCTGGTGTTGCTCTGAACCAGGTATGAAGTAAGCCTGGTGTTGCTCTGAACCAGGCATGAAGTAAGCCTGGTGTTGCTCTGAACCAGGCATGAAGTAAGCCTGGTGTTGCTCTGAACCAGGTATGAAGTAAGCCTGGTGTTGCTCTGAACCAGGCATGAAGTAAGCCTGGTGTTGCTCTGAACCAGGTATGAAGTAAGCCTGGTGTTGCTCTGAACCAGGCATGAAGTAAGCCTGGTGTTGCTCTGAACCAGGCATGAAGTAAGCCTGGTGTTGCTCTGAACCAGGCATGAAGTAAGCCTGGTGTTGCTCTGAACCAGGTATGAAGTAAGCCTGGTGTTGCTCTGAACCAGGCATGAAGTAAGCCTGGTGTTGCTCTGAACCAGGCATGAAGTAAGCCTGGTGTTGCTCTGAACCTGGTATGAAGTAAGCCTGGTGTTGCTCTGAACCAGGCATGAAGTAAGCCTGGTGTTGCTCTGAACCAGGTATGAAGTAAGCCTGGTGTTGCTCTGAACCAGGTATGAAGTAAGCCTGGTGTTGCTCTGAACCAGGTATGAAGTAAGCCTGGTGTTGCTCTGAACCAGGTATGAAGTAAGCCTGGTGTTGCTCTGAACCAGGCATGAAGTAAGCCTGGTGTTGCTCTGAACCAGGCATGAAGTAAGCCTGGTGTTGCTCTGAACCAGGCATGAAGTAAGCCTGGTGTTGCTCTGAACCAGGTATGAAGTAAGCCTGGTGTTGCTCTGAACCAGGCATGAAGTAAGCCTGGTGTTGCTCTGAACCAGGCATGAAGTAAGCTGGTGTTGCTCTGAACCAGGCATGAAGTAAGCCTGGTGTTGCTCTGAACCAGGCATGAAGTAAGCCTGGTGTTGCTCTGAACCAGGTATGAAGTAAGCCTGGTGTTGCTCTGAACCAGGCATGAAGTAAGCCTGGTGTTGCTCTGAACCAGGCATGAAGTAAGCCTGGTGTTGCTCTGAACCAGGCATGAAGTAAGCCTGGTGTTGCTCTGAACCAGGCATGAAGTAAGCTTGGTGTTGCTCTGAACCAGGCATGAAGTAAGCCTGGTGTTGCTCTGAACCAGGCATGAAGTAAGCCTGGTGTTGCTCTGAACCAGGTATGAAGTAAGCCTGGTGTTGCTCTGAACCAGGCATGAAGTAAGCCTGGTGTTGCTCTGAACCAGGTATGAAGTAAGCCTGGTGTTGCTCTGAACCAGGCATGAAGTAAGCCTGGTGTTGCTCTGAACCAGGCATGAAGTAAGCCTGGTGTTGCTCTGAACCAGGCATGAAGTAAGCCTGGTGTTGCTCTGAACCAGGTATGAAGTAAGCCTGGTGTTGCTCTGAACCAGGCATGAAGTAAGCCTGGTGTTGCTCTGAACCAGGTATGAAGTAAGCCTGGTGTTGCTCTGAACCAGGTATGAAGTAAGCCTGGTGTTGCTCTGAACCAGGCATGAAGTAAGCCTGGTGTTGCTCTGAACCAGGTATGAAGTAAGCCTGGTGTTGCTCTGAACCAGGTATGAAGTAAGCCTGGTGTTGCTCTGAACCAGGCATGAAGTAAGCCTGCTGTTGCTCTGAACCAGGCATGAAGTAAGCCTGGTGTTGCTCTGAACCAGGCATGAAGTAAGCCTGGTGTTGCTCTGAACCAGGCATGAAGTAAGCCTGGTGTTGCTCTGAACCAGGCATGAAGTAAGCCTGGTGTTGCTCTGAACCTGGTATGAAGTAAGCCTGGTGTTGCTCTGAACCAGGTATGAAGTAAGCCTGGTGTTGCTCTGAACCAGGCATGAAGTAAGCCTGTGTTGCTCTGAACCAGGCATGAAGTAAGCCTGGTGTTGCTCTGAACCAGGTATGAAGTAAGCCTGGTGTTGCTCTGAACCAGGCATGAAGTAAGCCTGGTGTTGCTCTGAACCAGGCATGAAGTAAGCCTGGTGTTGCTCTGAACCTGGTATGAAGTAAGCCTGGTGTTGCTCTGAACCAGGCATGAAGTAAGCCTGGTGTTGCTCTGAACCAGGCATGAAGTAAGCCTGGTGTTGCTCTGAACCAGGCATGAAGTAAGCCTGGTGTTGCTCTGAACCTGGTATGAAGTAAGCCTGGTGTTGCTCTGAACCAGGCATGAAGTAAGCCTAGTCTTGCTCTGAACCAGGCATGAAGTAAGCCTGGTGTTGCTCTGAACCTGGTATGAAGTAAGCCTGGTGTTGCTCTGAACCAGGCATGAAGTAAGCCTGGTGTT